AACAACAAATAATAAAATAATCAATAATAAATAAGGAGTAAAAAGTTAACAAACAATACTATAAAATAGTCACAAAACTGCATTCGGATCCACAATTATTTCCATTCAATAAGCCCCTAGAATAATTTGAAATATAACAGTTACTGCCAACTCAAATGATCATTAGAATAATACAACAGCTTTCCTATAATGCACCATTGCCCAAATAATCAAACAAAAACACAACTCATGTGTCTGATAATTTTGTTTAAGCATGAAAGAAAGTGTTGCTGCTGGATGTTCACTTCAGTGTCCACTTTTATATTTATATACACTCTAGCCCTGATATTGAGCACTTTAACCTATAAATATAACATACCTTAAAACTATATTTTTATTATATATGATAAAAGTGGTGACAGTCTGTTTCATGCTTGAACACAATCTTCAGGCCATGTGTGTTGTTTTTTGGAACAAGAATGTTGGTCAGTGGTGCATTATGGGTAGTAATATCATTTGTATTATCCTGATGGTTATTAGGTGAGCAGTAATGGTTAGGTTTCAAATTATTCTAGAGGATATTTAGTAGAAATAATTGTGGATCTTAATGCAGTTATTTGTAGGGATTTTATAATGTTGTTTGTTAATGTTTTTCTCATTATTTATTATTAATTCCTTTGACTATTTTCTATTTATTTGTTATTTATTATTGATTAGTTTGTTGTGTTATGGGAGTCTTAGTTCATATAAATTTTCAGGGAATTTTACCGCATGTCTTTCACTTAGTTTTGTATGAAAAAAATTATTACAAACAAAAAGAATATAAACTTATTAATCTGTAAAAGAGTATATCTATCTATCTATATATATATATATATATATATATAATATCACTTGATGATTAGTAGGGATAATTCCAAGGAAGATATAAATCCAAAGAGAGTTTAATGTAAGAACAGAGCAATGTAATAATGAATACAGAATCTTTAAAAATATATCAGGTCAGGTTATAATTTATATTGTGAACTTCACATGTCCATTTCTTCAGACTAGTTCAATTTAATTCAGACAAGGAAAAGGGAAAGAAGATTAAAAGAAGAGAGAGAAAAGAGAAAAAGGAAAACGTTTTAAAATAGGAAAAATGAATATTCATAAACTATTTCAGAATATTTGATTCAGTCTTGAATCCATCATTTTCTTTCTTCTAGATGAGTTATGGTAAGAAAACTCACCAACCCAGCAATGGAGGACAAAAAAATGATCTTGCAATAATTCATGGGTGAGGATCACATGTTTCATGATATTAAGTAGTAAATTCAGCACTTTACAAGATATAAATCCTTTGTTCTAACCATTTAGCCATCTTCATGAGCCAAAACAGGAATGGTGGATTTTCTGGTATGTAGACTTTGTGTTCAAAAGTATGATTGAAAGCTAAAATCTAAAACAAAAAACTCTCCGCAAAATACTGGCAGTATAACCACAAAATTTACAAAAAATAGTCCCTTCCCGACACACATTGCTAAAGTTATTCAAGAAAGTTGCCAATAATTTCACATCACAGTAAATTCCAGGTGGATTTAAAAAATATTGATTATTAGTGCAAACACAAGTCTGAATTTTAAGACTTATTCAAAATTTTTCTTTGTACCTTTCACTTAATTCAAGTTAAAATTCTTGCCAGCATTTTGTTCCGTTGTTCCGTTATTTGCCCCCACTTCACCCCCCCTTAGAAAGCAAATTATTCAATCTCTGTGCAAACTACATTTAATTCTTGGCACATCAACAAATTGAGGAACTGAATGGTTTCAAAATAAGATGGCTATGTGGTTTCAATAACAATGTGAGGCCAAAGCCCTTTTGAAAGGCATGAACTTGAAAGCACTTGGGAAAAACAGAACAGCAAAAAAACCATTTGAGAGTAAAAGATTAGAAAAACTACCAGCTTTCTGATTTAATCCAGTTTTCAACACTTGGACAACAAGTCATCAAAAAAAAATGTATGTAAATAAAAGGAGGAAGATATTTTCTAAAAATACATTTTATACAATTTGATATTAAAAAAAGAATAGGTGTAAATTATTTATTCCTTTGTTTTGCTTTTTAAAATAGAAACATTTTAATCATGTGGACATTGTGGATTTTACATGTACAAAACTGCTAAAAAAGAATTGGTCAGATAAAGTCAGATTTTAATTTAAAGTTTGCTATTTATTATTCATGTGAACTTTTATTCTAACAAAAAGGATTAATTAAAAATTGAGTTAATTAAGGATTCATAGTTAAAGACATGAAGTATATAATGCACAAAAAAAAAGATTGAAATTATTTTACAGGAAATGCAGTCATAACAGAACAAAAGGATGAATGTTATATTAACCCTGTAGACTACCAGTGGAGTGTAGGGTTACAGCATCACCCCACAAGGAAAGCAAAGGGAACTGATCAATATCAAAAAGGTGATTTATAAAGGAAGACTGGAAAATTCTTGGTCTGATAATCTTCCTTAAAATCTGATTAAATCGTTGCACTCTCAATAAGGCCTCCTCTTGCCTTGAATGTTTGTCAGAAGTCAATTTCACTTTAAATCTCAAATGATAATCACATATGAGCTGTTGCTAAGGACAGAGGTTCACTCAGCTGATTCCCAAGGACCATTACTTTGTGAAACAGACTCTCGAGAGAATGCTTCCCAAATCACTCTGATTATAAATGCTTCAAGTCTAGAATCAACACTTATCTATCCTCATAATCTACAGTTACTGCCTCCTGTTATGCCCATAGGACAACCTTACTTAGTAACCCTCTACCTTGAATGGCTCTTGTATTCAGTGGACAACAGTATTAACAATAGTATTAAGAAATAACCAAATGTTAAAAAATTTTAGGACTTCTTTCTTAGTCAGGCTGAGAACTTTTCAGTAACCCTTTATATATGTTCTTAGTGTTTAATTAGCTGTTCTGTTTTCTTCTGAGCAAAGAATTTAATATATATTAAGCTGATAGAAAAAATAGATAATTAAACCATGAATTCATTTTCCTCAAAACATGCTAATTTTTTAGGTGTGCTGAAAAAAGAATATACTTACATGTGTGTATATATATATATATATATATATATATATATATATATATATATGAATGATAACATAAGAAACATATAGGAAATGTTTAAACATCATAAATATCATTCTGTGCATTCTGATACATATTTGATCCCTATATATATATATATATATATATATATATATATATGGTATCTGGCAGCCTCATGAAACCTTGGATCTGTGCCAACAGAGTTATGCTTCAGCTGCTAATTCAATTCTTAAAATCTAGGTACCATAGATAAAAGCTCATGAGAACAATTACCATGAAAGTATTTATAGAAAATGCACAAGGAAATCAATATTACAGCAGTGGGAAAGTGACTGATGTCGAGATGCCAGCTCAGGACCATTAACATTGTAGATTTTTCTTTGGATTTTATCAAATATATAAATATATAAAAGTACTATGCCAGATGTGGCAGCAATATTCAAATGGTTGACTTCTAAATATATAAGATAGTTCTGCCAAGAAAATTTATTCAAGTATACGTGGAGAAATACATCTTCAGTAGTTCTTCCAGCATACTTGATGATAAAGCAATAAAGCCTCGTTTCTACTCATGTAGAGTATCTTTGTACACTACTTTTGACTTATCTTAGCTAAAAACTACTATTTTTGCCTGGTTTGAAACTTTCAAAACATATTTTCTTCTGACTGAGTTTAAAGTCACTATAAAAACTAAAAAATGCAACTATTTCCTTTGCATTCAAATTTTCTCTTTTTAAAACTTTTTTTCCTTAAAACACCACTCGATATTAACTTGAAAATGAAATTTTTGCTTCTCAATTTGCACTATTTTTTAATCCACCAACTCAAATTATTTTGTGTTCTATTTTCTTGCATTTCTATGTGACATGTCACTTCAGGACGCGGATGATCATAACTTTTACAAAACTTCCAATTTTTTTGTAGTACTCAGAATAGTTTGTCTTCTCACTATACTTCCCAATCCCTTTTCTGCCATTCATTTACTCAAGCTCAAGGTAGGTTGATCATGGCTCTCCACTACTTCCATTTTACACAAGCTCATTATGTAGGTTACTCTCTGCTTTCCTCTGTTCCTCTTGCCTGCAATATGCCATTTGAGTGTCAAATTTTCCAAGTCTTCTTTCCTCATTATGTGTCCATGAAATTTCAACTGTCTCTTTCTGATTCTAAGCATAAGTGTCCTTACTTATTAATTTTTCACAAATGATTGATGTATGTTCTTTCTCAATACACTTCCTTAAGTTGTCTTTGATCCAAAAATAATTTGTTAGATTACTTAAAGATAAGATAGAGTTTATTAATTTACTTCTTTAAATAGTTCGTACTAGACAATCAAACCGAAAAAAAACATTCAGACCCGGAACTGTTGTGAATAACTTGGGACAAGAATTGGGACAGAATGTCATGTTTCTATATCAGGACTTACTCACTTAACAAGTAGAATTAGGGTAAGTTAAGATCAGTGTAAATCAAACTTAAACACATTATAAAGTAAATGCAATGTCCATGCTAAGATTTCTCCCTTCTTAAAACAAGAATTCATTGGGTCAGATTTGATTTCAAATGTTAGATTAAGTTCTCTTGCATCCAATGTTCATGGCAGTTTGGTTTGAGAAGAAAATGATGCTGTTGATAAAGTTTTCTACTGTCCTTCCTGAAAAAGGAGATAATTTAAAAACTGTGCTTGACCAAGACAAAGGATGACCAGAATCTAATTTTGAGATTTCAGCTCTAAGAAATCTTCTTGAAGGCAATGATCAGACCAAATCCATTTGCTTTCAGTTTCAAAGACACATATTTGAGGATGCAGAAGAAAAGAGATCTATGTAAATAATTTCAGAAGAACCTTATTGATCTGTTTGCCCAGGCAGAAAAGGGTCTGCCAGATCTTTAATGAATTACTGAGTTTAACTGTGAAGATATTCTTATTCCAGACAGACAAAAGCATGAAGAGTGTCTCCTGAATGGAGACTAAAGGATTGTGTAGAAGAGGAAAGAGAAAATAAAAGAAGAATGTGAAACAAAGCAAGAAAGAGAAAAAAAGGAGGGAGTTGAGAGGGAAAAGTCTGAAGAAAAATAAAGAGTGAGGGAGAAAAGAGATTAAAATAGAAAATGAAGAAAGACAGAGTGAGATGATAGGAAGAAAAAGAAGAGGGTAAAAATGAAAAAATATAAAAAACAGAGTAGTATTGTAAAAATGAAGAAGTAAATAAAAAAGAAGAAAAAATTAGATAAAAAAGAAGATAATGAAGTGGGAAGATATGGAGAAAAAGAAAAGAGATGGAGAGAAAGAGAAGAAATGAAGAGAAAGAGAAGAAATGATGGGAAAGGGAAGAAATTGATGAAAGAGTTGAAAGAAAGATCAAACGTTACAAATTTCCAGGATTTCCATCGTGAGTGCCTGGGATATTTGAGATAATTTTGACACTCAACCAATCCAGGAGGATTGTCTAGAGTGTGCTGAAAAAATAACTCAAGGAGATAACATCAATAGTTTTACATCAATAAATCTATTAAATGTCAACTCTAGTGGACTGGTGAATTGACCAAGGTCAAACTAGTGCACTGAGAAGTGTTGATGCCTACTAAATATGCTCTCGTTAATGGAGAATGTAGAAGCAGTATCAGACATTATTGTCAAACTTAGATTAATCTGAAGTACCCCAAAATTACAGGAAACTGCTTAATAATAAGTACCTCATCAATTTACCTGAATAATGGTACCTGTGTGTAGAGTTTATGCAGAGCTAGTACCATTGCATGCTTATATCAGTTCAGACAGAATTTCATAGTTGGATTGTGTTACTTGAATTTAGCTGCAGGGAATTTAGTAAGTTCCATACATGTTTAATCAGGTTTTTAGTGAGCAGGTGCCATCTCAGTTGAATGTCTCACCATTTTCAAAAGAAAATAAATTAGACATGTGTAGGATTTTAGATATATATTTATAAATAGAACAACATAACTCACAAAAGAAAATAAGTGAAATGTGTATGGAGCAGGGAAGAGTGATGTGCCATGTGGTTTAGTTGAAATTAAGAAGTTGGTTTGCCAGCTGCTGTTGCCCCGGAAGGGGAGATGGGATATGTCTGGTACATTTGATTGAGATAGAAAAATAAGAGGAAAGAATCCTTTTCTTTTATATCACTTTTTACCATGACACCTAGTGGAAGTTAAGTGAAGTCCATTGACAGAAAAGGGCAGGGAAATCCAACAGGTTTATTATTGCTGTTCAATCTCAGTTGAGATTATAAATCCCACAATAATGCACTCATATTCACGATCATGCATAGGTGCCACCAGGTCTTTCTTCTTAATCACCATGTTCCTGCTGATGACATCAGGATAAGTTAGTTTCTTGTTTCTCTTGTCAGCAGTTTGAAGTCTCCAAAGGACAAAGGATGAAGTGACCTCAAACTGATCTCTCCAGGGTTTCACTAGGATGGAGACAGGATGTTGTTCCCAGGAAATATTTTTATCTTGCTGTAGAAGTCTTGATTAATTAGGGACAATGATCAACTGGGAAGTCAAAGTGCTTCTGGATCCTGTTTTAAGAGATCTACACATTATGAGAGTGGATGGAACAAAATCATCAGTGACAGGATATATTGCAAGCATAAAGAAATGTAAATGGTGTGTGATAAAATCTGTGGATATTTGACCAGTTACAGCAAAACCTCAGTTTTAATGTGGTCCTGGTAAACTCCCCACAGCATTAAAGCTTGAGCCAGGTGCTACTGACAGGCTTCATGTATAGCCTCATGTAATCACCTTCATACACAAACTTGAATTTATCTATCATCCAGTTCACACTCCTCCCCAGTTTATTGAACAGGAGTAGAGGTTTATCCCTTGTTTCCTGTATAGGATTGAGTTTCCAGTTGCTATTAAAGTCTTTTCATTCTCTTTCATTCTCAATAACCTCTTGTGCCTTAGTGGCATTATTGCCTTACTTGGGATGAAGTGATTTTCAAAAAAAGGAGAAAATGGAGAATATATAAATTGTTTTGGAGAAAGCATTAAAGAAAGATAAATTTTCAATATGAAAATTCTCAACTATAACACCTATAAAAATGGCGACTGGTTTACATGTCTTGAAGGTAGTAAAACTTCCATGGATTGAATAACTCTAAATACATTCTTGATTAATATATGCACATCAGTTTTCTAATCTGCTTATTTTTCTCAAAGAAAAGACATTTTTTTGTTGAAATGATGCTCTTCCTTCTCTCAATATTTCAGACAAGATCTCAGTTAATAACGAAAATCTGAGGATCAAAATGACCGAAGAAAGAATCTGAGAGTCTGGGACAGAAGCCAAAACTGAAACAAAAATGGTGAAGAACTGAAACTCTAAAATCTTGCAACACTCTAATAATCAGTTTAATCAGTATTAATGTCTTTTAACATCAGCTAAATGTGTGCATTATAACTCTCTATTACTTTTTTTTAAAGCATATCCCCTCCAAGCAAGGTAAGAGTGCCTCTAGCATCCAAGGGGTTACAGAGAGTGAGAGCAAGAGTAAAGAGGGGTGTTTGATGAAAGGATATAGAGAAGGATGGGGATCAGGATCAAAGCATCAGAAGATGTCGATTGATATTACATTTGAATATTTAAAAATTATAGCTATGAGAGAAGAAAGTAAGAGGAAGGGCGTTACACTGTTGGGAAGTGCAAGATAAGAAGTTGTTGGAGTAGAAGAGATGGCTACATTTAACTGTTTCAACAGTTAAAGCGTGGGTCTGAGATACCAACCAAATAGCATGCTTAAATTCATACAATTTGGAAACCAGTGAAAGTAGCTCATCAGAGCAGTTGCTATGAAAATACTTGTAAAAAAGACAGAGGGAAGCTAACAGGACGTCTTTGAAAGAGTGACTGTAGACAAGATGCCAGATCAAGACCTATCACACTGCATATCTGTCTCTGGATTTTGTCGAGGACCTCTAGATGAACAGCATGGGTACCAGACCATATATGGCCACATATTCAGTGCAAGGATGAATGGTTGATTTGTAGATATGAAGGATGGACTCCAGGCGAGAAAGAGACCTTCTGGAGTGACAAAGAGAACCAACTTTTGCTCGTGGTAGATAAAGCTATAACAAGAACATTCAAGAGACTCACAAGAGCAGGCAGTTTTTCCTTCAACTTCCATTTTTATTTTTTACTACAGATATTTTCCCAGTTCTGTATTGTAATAATTACTTTGCAAATAAGAAATTAAATAGAACCAATTAAGATTCATTATAATCTTAACCCTCTTCCTGAATGATAAAAGAATTCCCAGATAGACAGACAGAATTAAACATATTGATGTAGATGGTATTTATCAATCCACCCACGGGGACCGAATGTGGCACAAGGCCTTTTTAATGTGGGTATGTCTGAGCCCGTAGGCCCAGCCAAAAATAAAACCCATCTAAAACCCGTCCAAGCGGGCTAGTTCAAATCAACCTCCCGAACGAAACCCCACCCTTCGGCGGAGCTTGTCTGGGTTTATTCTCTGCAAGCAGAGAGTTCGACAGACACCCGACTGGCAGCTCACAAAGTGCAGATACTACACTTTGATCCTAGCCACCGGGCCGAGCGGGTATTCTTTTTTTAGATAGATGTAGATAGGAATGGGCTGAGATAAAGAGATAGAAATAAGTGCTTGCATGTTTTTGTGATTCCAACAAATAATCATTGTCACTTTCGTAATGCTCATTGTGGTAGAGACTTTGCAATTGCAGATAAAACTATAGTAACGCCATTGAACAATACTGGTATCAGTCACCTTTAAATAGCACTTGCATAATAGTACTTGCTCAATAATACTCGCTTGAATAGTAATCACTGTATAGTAATCCAAATAGTAGCCATAGCATAGTGAATAGAATAGAGAATAGCGATCCATATATTATAGAGTAGAAAGAGCAATCCAAATAGTAATAAAGGATAGACTAGTAATGCAGAACAACAGTCATCATGATAATTCATATTTCCTTTATGGTCATGGGATCTACTTAATTCAATAATGGGATCACCTATGTTTACTCTCTGGTGATCTATGTTCGACAGTGACACTTTATTCCTATATAACACATGTACTCACATACACATATATATATATATATATATATATATACCAATAGGCATATTCTTACTAACTGACACAATAAAATATATACATAATTTCTTTTTTTTCCTCCTATCAAGTACATGTAGCATAAAAAAAAAAAACTTTCAAAGGACAGGCACTAAAGGACTTATCCTGTTGCATATGTTGTATTTCTTCAGTGAAAGAAAAAAAGGATTGGCATTCTCATGACGAAGATCAATGGAAAGGTTGATAAATCTTGCAATCAGACAACAATAAACAGATAAACAAAGACTGTAGCGAGGAGGAGGAGGAAAAGAGGAGGAGGAGGAGGAGGAAAAGAGGAGGAGGATGCAAAGAAAGTGAGAATTTGAAAAGGAGGAAGGAAAAGAAGTTTGAAGAGAGAGAGAGAGAGAGAGAGAAAAGATTAACAGTTAAATGACATGAGATAAAAATCTTCAAAGCTTGGACAAATGAAAAATGACTTCTGAAAAATATAGAATAAAACAGTAAAGTTATGAAGAAAAATGAATGAAAAACAAAACTGATCAGTGAACAAGAAAAGGAAGGAAAAAATAGGAGAAAAATGAGATTAGATCAAAGCAGGTGGCTCTTCTTTATTACAACCACCCCTTCCCCCTATTAGCAAAGGCACCACATTTATAATCAACTCCAATATTAATCATACTGTTCATTTCTTCTAAGAACATGAAAAACATGAATAAAGAGCGTGAATGTGCTCAGTAAAATAATTCATGGATATACATCAATTATATTTCTAAAAGATATTCTTATTTGAAACAGACAAAAGCATAAAGACTGTCTTCTTGATGGAAGTAAACTGATGGGAAATGATTGTGTGGAGAAAGAAGAGAAAATGAAAGAGGAATAATTGTGTGGAGGAAGAAGAGGAGAGGAAAGAGGAATAATTGTGTGGAGGAAGAAGAGGAGAGGAAATAGGAATAATTGTGTGGAGGAAGAAGAGGAGGAGAAGAAAGAGGAATGATTATGTGGAGGAGGAAGAAGAGGAGAGGAAAGAGGAATGTGTGGAGGAAGGAGAGGAAAGAGGAAAGATTGTGTGGAGGAAGAAGAGGAGAGGAAAGAGGAATAATTGTGTGGAGGAAGAAGAGGAGAGGAAAGAGGAATGATTGTGTGGAGGAAGAAGAGGAGAGGAAAGAGGAATGATTTTATGGAGGAAGAAGAGGAGAGGAAAGAGGAATAATTGTGTGGAGGAAGAAGAGGAGAAGAAAGAGGAATGTGTGGAGGAAGAAGAGGAGGAAAGAGGAATGATTGTGGAGGAAGAAGAGGAGAGAAAGAGGAATAATTGTGTGGAGGAAGAAGAGGAGAGGAAAGAAGAATGATTTTATGGAGGAAGAAGAGGAGAGGAAAGAGGAATAATTGTGTGGAGGAAGAAGAGGAGAAGAAAGAGGAATGTGTGGAGGAAGAAGAGGAGAGGAAAGAGGAATGATTGTGTGGAGGAAGAAGAGGAGAGGAAAGAGGAATAATTGTGTGGAGGAAGAAGAGGAGAGGAAAGAGGAATGATTGGAAAAGGAGGAAGAAGAGGAGGAGAAGAAAGAGGAATGATTGTGTGGAGGAAGAAGAGGAGAGGAAAGAGGAATAATTGTGTGGAGGAAGAAGAGGAGAGGAAAGAGGAATGATTGTGTGGAGGAAGAAGAGGAGAGGAAAGAGGAATAATTGTGTGGAGGAAGAAGAGGAGAGGAAAGAGGAATGATTGTGGGAGGAAGAAGAGGAGGAAAGAGGAATGATTGTGGGAGGAAGAAGAAGAGGAAAGAGGAAAGAGGAAAGAAGAGGAGAGGGAATGATTGAAGAGGAAGAGAGGAAAGAGGAATGATTGTGTGGAGGAAGAAGAGGAGAGGAAAGAGGAATGATTGTGTGGAGGAAGAAGAGGAGAGGAAAGAGGAATGATTGTGTGGAGGAAGAAGAGGAGAGGAAAGAGGAATGATTGTGTGGAGGAAGAAGAGGAGAAGAAAGAGGAATGATTGTGTGGAGGAAGAAGAGGAGAGGAAAGAGGAATGATTGTGTGGAGGAAGAAGAGGAGAAGAACGAGGAATGAGTGTGTGGAGGAAGAAGAGGAGAAGAAAGAGGAATGATTGTGGAGGAGGAAGAAGAGAGAAGAAAGAGGAATGATTGTGTGGAGGAAGAAGAGGAGAAGAAAGAGGAATGATTGGAAGAAGAGGAGAGAAAAGAGGAATGATTGTGTGGGAAGAAGAGAGAGAGAAGAACGAGGAATGAGGTGGAGGAAGAAGAGAAGAGGAAAGAGGAATGATTGTGCAGAGGAAGAAGAGGAGAAGAAAGACGAATGATTGTGTGGAGGAAGAAGAGGAGAGGAAACAGGAATGAGTGTGTGGAGGAAGAAGAGAAGAGGAAAGAGGAATGATTGTATGGAGGAAGAAGAGGAGAGGAAAGAGGAATGATTGTGCAGAGGAAGAAGAGGAGAAGAAAGAGGAATGATTGCGTGGAAGAAGAAGAGGAGAAGAAAGAGGAATGATTGTGTAGAGGAAGAAGAGGAGAAGAAAGAGGAATGATTGTGTAGAGGAAGAAGAGGAGAAGAAAGAGGAATGATTGTGTGGAAGAAGAAGAAGAGAAGAAAGAGGAATGATTGTGTAGAGGAAGAAGAGAAGAGGAAAGAGGAATATTTGTGTGGTGGAAGCAGAGAAGAAGAAAGAGGATTGATTTTGTGGAGGGAGAAGTGAAAAAGAAAAAGAAATGATTGTGTTGAGGAAGAAGAGAAGATGAAAGAGGTAACAGGAAAGAGCAAGAAAGAAAAAAAGAGATAGCTGAGTAGAAAAGAGCCGATAAAAAAAAAAGAAGTGTGAGGGCGAAAAGAAAGATTGAAATATAACAGGAAGATAGAGAAGGGATAAGAAGAAAAGGAAGAAGAGGATAAAAATGAAAAATATCAAAAAGGTAGGGCAAGATTACAAAAATGTAGAGAAGGAAGAAAAGAAAAGATAGGATAAAAAAAGCGATGACAAGGTACAAAAAGCAGTAAAGAGATGAACGGAAAGAGAAGTGATAAAGACGAAGAACAAAAGGAGGTAAGAGAATGGGAAGAAGAAAGAAAGAAGAGAAAAATCAAGATGTGAAAGAAGAAGAGAAACAGAATGAAGAAAGAAAAGAAAAGGGAAGATAGAAAAATGGAAAAAGAAGAAAAAGAAAAGAAGCTGAAGAAACAGTGAGAAAGAAAAATAGAAACAAAAATGAAGAGTTAAAGAAATAGAAGTTGAAAGGTAAAGAGAAGAAGAAAAAAGTAAATAAAGAAAGTAAAAGAAAAAGGACAAATATGGATTTGTTATTTACAGCTTATCAACCCACTGTGGGTTATTTAAAGATGAATCTTATTTTTGAATTTTTCCTAATTACTCTTTTTTTGCAAATCAATATTGCATTAACAATTCTTTGGGAATAAATTTTTTTCTAAATACAAGTACTACTATTTAATCCATAGCTGGAGGAGAAGAAAGGGATCCATAGCTCTTTCAGTGGTATTTGCACATAAGTAAATATAAAGATCTTGACTGGAATTCAAACTTGAGTTTCTGATTTCTCATTCTGAGCCACTATCTATTACAACAACCACATATCCGTCGAAGGGACAAAGAAGAGAAAAAGGAAAGGTAGAAAAAGATGATATAGAAAAAGAAAATCAAAAAAAAGGAAGAAAAAGATGATATAGAAATTGGAAAAGATGAATGCAAAAGAGGAAACAGAAGAAAAAGGAAAAAAATATGAAAAATGAAGGAAAAATAAAAAGAAGAGAAAATGAAGAAAGATAGAGAAAAAATGGAAGCTCCTCAAAGTGAGGCAGCAAATGAATAAAATGCAAAATAAAATGGTTACTTGGCATCAGAACATGATTTTTGCCAAAACTTCTAGAGTTCCATATCTAAGAAAGGTCCAAAAAAAAAAAAAACTTGGGATTATTCCATCTTTTATATGTTGCTTTCATACACATTTTACTTGAACTGGATCGGGCCTTATTTTCTTAGAAAATGGAATTTTGTGCTTTACGTTGCAATGTTTTAACTGAGAAATTCCTCAGGAGAAAGACAAGATGTCAACCATGTTGAAAGATTGCTTGACCTTGTGTAAACATAAAAGTATTTACATCAAGAAAATTTGAAACAAGAATCAAGATTGTCAGCTCTGAATATAGATCCATCTATTAGAACAGTGAGAGAGGGTGTTTAGGTGTCAGCCATTCTGAGACCACATAACAAATGTAATCAGGGCCTACAAGAGAAGCAAGCAAAGAGAAAAAAAATACCATCTTATGTCTTAAAAACCATTTCCTGAGGCTGATAACAGATTTTCTGTTGGCAATAAATGAGAAGGAATTATGAACAGATGAACATATTGACTGTGATGAGGACCTGAGAAAAAAAAATGTCTTTTCTGCTGACAGAAAATGTGGACAGTAAGCTCAATGAACTTTAGAAAGCATTTCATAAGCAAAGAAATAAAAACTCTTTATTACTTAAAAAAAATGTCCCCAGCTGATACTTGTTGCAAGTGTTAAATGTGAAAAAGATAAAAAGATTCTTTGATAAATAACCTTAAAACATAATCACTAATAATAATGCCATTTTCCCTACTGACCAAATTGACCAAATTATCACTTTGACTCAAAAAAACCAAACAACTCTTTTTAAAATAATCAGAAAGGAGTGATCATAACATTGAAGCGAGCAAGAGATCAATTTTCTGATTCGTCTAAAATCAATAGAGAAAAAGATAAAAATGATTGGATTGAGAAGATGAGAAGAAATTAAAAAGAATTTTATTTTGAAAGAACCAATGAAAAAAATGTCTAACAAAATCATGGCATTTGCATTTTTAAAAGAAAAAAAAGCAATGATGGAGTAAATATTTAAAAAATCACAAAGCAAACAAACATAGCCCAATTGTTAACAAACTAGGTATGAGGGATTATTAGATTAACTTGTCTAGTTTAATTATATTGAGTACCCTAGTATTGTTGCTTTGCACCACATTAAGTATGTATCTATATAGATGTTTGCATATTGCATAATTATTTAAGGAATATCCTCTTTTTATTTCTCTCTTTTTCATTACGATGACTTCTACTATTTTTAGTCGTTACTATTATTATGCTTATTGTGAACATCATATAGTCACAGATAATCTTTGTTACTTGCATGTTCCTATTTTTATCATCACTTCTATTATGGTCATTATTATTATTATTTAATACTCTTCATCTGATATTATTCCACCTACACTTCTATTAAAACACTAATGTGGAAAAGTGGAGTCATCTGACTGGAGCGAGAGACAAAAATGGCAAAGAAGAGGGCAGAAATCATAAAAATCTTTATCAGGTTCTGTGACCAAAGGATTGTTGATTTTTGTATTTAAGTCTTTAATGTCCACTGAATTTGAGATTCATCCCAGTTCAAGAAAACTATTCAATAACACACCAAGGAAGGCTATGGTAATAGTCATGTATTTTATAATTTCTAAAAACTTTACCGTGATCCAGAATAAAAAAAATATTAAAATTGTACAAAGGATATTTTGGTCATCACTTTATATATGTTGTTTAAAAATTGCTACATTTATGGAGAAAATATGCTTAGCATTGAAAATAGAGTGAAAATGCTGACGTTCTGTGTACAGACAACATTCTTCTAACTAGTGTCTGATATATATCAATAGGAGGAAGACTTATCATCAGTGATGATGAACATATATACATGGAATACTGATAATAACAACAACAAATAGTACAATAGTCTGCTGGTAAATAATATTAGTAGAAATATAATGATTTGATTTTTCCTCTTGTCGTATGAACATACTATATACAGTTGAAGAAACACAGGATGAGATTTGTATTGCAAAACACTAGAGATAAACAGACTCCAATTGGTAAAATGTCCCAAGCTACCAAGAGCTAGAATTTTTAACAAGATGACAATCCAAAGCATATTGCAATGAAAAGGAAATTGTCGTTTCAGGTGAAGAAAATAAAGGTTAGAGAGTAGCTTAGTCAGTTACTTGATTTTATTCTACAGAAAATCTATGGAAGGAATTTAAGCTTCATCAGAGAAATACCCCAAAATTGGGTGATCTTAAGGTTGCAAGGTTTGTCAACAAGAGTTGGATAACATTGGTGATAAAATTTCTAGAAGAAGTTTACCTCAAATTATTCCAAATGTCTAACACCATCAAATGTTGAACACTTTTATTGATATGGGTCTAAAACATTTGTATGCTACATTCTGTGTGATTTTTTAAATTGTTTCATCTAATACAAGGCTCAAGTGGCACTCATGGTACAATGTTATGGAACAAAGTTTGTGACATGAATGTAAGATGAAGTAGAACAAGTAGAAATGGTCCAAGGATAAGGAGGCTAGACAACAACTGAATCTTAACTTTAGCTTGTTGTGTTCAGGGAAACATTGATACTGGAATTTGTTCCACAAAGTAGCAGTTCTTGAAAAAAGGTAAGAAGAACTTCCTCTTTACAATTTGATTAAGGAGGAAATGTGGGTGATTTGACTCTGTGGATGAGGCATGTTGTGTCCCAGCTGTAAAGGTCTGAACTGGTGGAACTAAAGAGTGCAGTTCATGCAAGCATTCATCATAGATAAACTTGGAACATTACATTTGTGGGGTAAGAGGATGTAGAGTGGAAAAGTCATTCTCTACAATTGAAAAGTCATTCTCTGCCATTTAAAAGTTATTTTATTTTACTGTTTTCAGAGAAAATGAAATCTTTTCATGGCATATTAACATGCTAAATGATGACATAAAAACTTTTATTGTGTCATGATGCTTGTCTCTTGATACCAGCAGGGTGAGATACAACAGATGTTTGGAAGTTTTAATCCATTACAAAAATTCACAGAATATGGAAGTCAAGCACTGTGAACATAAAAATGTTTTTGAATCTCTCTTATGTTCAAATCAGATGTGAAAGTAATTCCATTTCTTTTCCAACCAAATCGGCAAGATAGGAATGGTAGGATTAATTTTTAAAAAAAGTTTTGGAATAGTGGCTTGTTTCTGGAAGAGATCGGGGAAAGATTTTGCTGGGAGAATTCCTTTCTCAATACTACAACTTGGCTCAGGAACAAATTTCTCTAATTTCTATTGGTTCTTGAATTTTCATTGGTTTTTGTTGTTTTGGGTTGGGTTGGAGATAGAGAAGATAATTCAAATAATTAAGACCTTTGCTGAATTGTTAACAACTAAAAATTTGGATTGAAAATAGCCTTTTTTTTTTAATTCGTTGTTTCTTGCAGCCATTGCTTCTTATGCTTTTTCTCCTTCTGGTTTTATTTTAAATTCTTGGATATAATTAGAAACATGAAATAAACATGCAAAGTAGTGGCTCCAACAGAAAATAATGACATTTCTCATAGAATTATCATCCATTTTTACAGAGAGAGAGAGAATTGTTTAGCAAGTTTGCCAATAATTTTGGAGAGATACCAGACCATATCAGTTAACAAAAGCTATAACAAATCAGACATGACTAGAATGGAACTAAATATTGAAAAACTAAACAAAATAAAATAAAAACGTGCTATAAATAATAATGGTTAATTTTTTTTGCACTTTGTATTTGCATAAAATATTGACCGACTCAAAAAGAATGATTTTCAAGCATATTCCATTGGCCATGGACAAAGTCACTGGTCTCTTGGAAAAGCAGTTGACAGGAAATAATAAAAAGATAGTTTTCAAATTGTTTCATTTTTTTTTTTATACAATCGATCTTCCAATAAAAGGCCCAAGAGCCACTCACGGTAGAGGGTTACTGTGTGGTGTTTTGTCTAAGAATAAGAAAAGGCAAGATGTGAAGTTCATTGGTTCAAGCAGAAAAGATAACATTTGACCCTAGATTTGTAGAGGTTAAGGTTGTCATGACTGGAGAAATATTGGTGCCTGGAGTTTGTTCCACAAAGCAGCAATTCTATTGAAGAATTATCCAAATGGAACTTACTTCTTACAAATGAAATAGAGAGAGAATGGGAATGATTCCTACTTGTGTACATGGCATGGCAGGTCTCAGTTACAAAAGTCAGGAGTGGAGGGACTAAGAACTGTAGCTGGTCACAACACATGCTATGAAAATAGCGATAGAGCAGTGAGAGGCTTGTGACATTTGATATGCAGGAAAGAGGCTTGAAAATAATTCATTGCCCACAAGTCAGGCAAGTGAGGACTGGACAGCTACGTCCCAGTCTATTTTAGGAATTATAAAATTGTGATGAAGAAATGAAGTAATATAGTTTCAATGTACCTTCTACTATAAATACTTCTATGGTACCTGGATATTATGAATTTAAGTGCAACACTAGAATAGTGGCAAGGCCTCATCATTTTACAGTTGAAATCACTAGACATAAATGTAAGTTCTATGCTAAAATTTTCTTCTTTCTCTCACACTTCTCACATTCTCTTCTGGCTTCTTGCTTCTCAGTCAACTTTGATCTTCAAAAATTTAAGTGCAATGTCAATCGTTATCTTCTGTCTTCTTAATTCCACTTCTTTTATTGTCATCTCTGCTTAACAACAGTTTTTTTCATATTCTTTAATACTCAGTAACCTCTTGCATTCTAGTGGCTTTATTACTTTGCTTGGGGTGAAATGATTTTAAACAAAAAAGGTAAAAGTAAATTATTTTACACATTTTTGATGAGCAGCTTTTGTTTTTCTTTAGCATGGACTTTATCTATAATCTGTCTCTGATTTGACCGAATATTCACTTTTGCTTGGTTGTTACGAATCTTTGTCAGTCACCAGTTGTCAGTTTCTTACATCTTTTGTCAGCATTTACAGTCTTTCTTTACTGCTTATGGTTGTCTAGAATTCATATATTCTTCAAATATCCTTTCTACTTTTACCTGAGAAAAATCTGCAGCATTTTTCACCTCAAAGACAGAACTTCATTCTCATATTGCCCAACAATAATGCAATAATCACTGCCACAGCTATACTACGACTTTACCTATTATGTGGTATAAATTCTAGCTGAGTCCATTTCTCCAGATTGGGGAAATGCAGAACCATCCAGTGTCTTCTTTTTATGCCTCTTGATTCCTTGGGGTATGTTCCCCAAGGAATCAAGAGGCATAACAACACCTCTCCAACGGACACAGTTCCGGGTGATCTCTCTTACCTCTTGATTCCTTAAGGAACATAGGACCACAACAACACCTCTCCAACGGACACAGTTCAGGGCGATCCTCTTCACCTCAGTCCATGTCTTTCCAGCTGCTTTCACCTCTGTGT